GTCGATCAAAACGCTTAACAAGCGGTGGTTTTGTAATGTATTGGACGGGTATGTCGATTAAGTGGTGTAACCAATGCCACCAAACAAATTATACCAGATTATATATACCGTAGTATGTATGTTGAGTAGTGAAAATTTGTGGTTGAGGGTCAGGTACACGTCCACACCCACACACAATAGTTACAAACTTTTTAATACAATCAAATAGTTGATAATGAAATGTATGTTAAGAGCAGTGAAACAAACGTCAAACGTATCGATAGGCTGTATGTGAATGAATGGGCTGTTGGTTAGACTGACGGCGCAAAAATGCAATGCCTTTGAATGTCAATGTGCTCTCAGACTCACACTCTCAGCCTTTTGTTGGTTAGCTATACAAACTCTATGGAGAACTACCAGTGCCAAACTACCAGTGCTGAAACTCGATGTATGTATGGGTTTGCCAGAGCTGTAAGGCTTATTGGGGAGAGAAATGCATGCATTGAATGCCATACGAAACCAGTGGTGAGTGTGTATTGTCATTGAAAATCTGTATTTCGCTCTCTAGTGAACACTTTTGGAAAGTGTTAGACCTATGAAGCGCTTTACCATTCTTAGGACGCCATCTGATAGTATGATAGCACCTACTCTTCAGGTNGACGCCATCTGATAGTATGATAGCACCTACTCTTCAGGTGATTACTATCGCACCGACAGTCTAGTGATACTGAGATACTGGCCTGTGATAGGCACACATACTTTACAGTAGATATTATCATAAGGAGAGGGAGGGAGAGAGAGAGAGAGAGAGAGAGAGAGAGAGAGAGAGAGCTCTGTCTGGAAGATAGTGGCAATGATTGGCAAACACTGACAGATAGAAAAAGACTAATTATTTAACATTAGTTGCAATTAATGTTTTCCTGGCTCTAACTTAAAGGCAAACAAACAATTCATGCGAAAGATTTAGTCGAGAAGTCATTATTAATTTGTTATTTGAAATCATAATTAATTTTTTCGTTCAAAGAATTCATTATCGCAACGAATATTATATTGAATCCAATGATCGTTAACTCAATTATAAAGTCTTTGAGCGATAAGCGATTCAGAGAACGGAATACTAATAAAACTTTTGAAAAACTTTAAAACCACTCAAACAAATGGCATCTGGAAATAGCATAGCAATTGTGTTCATGAAATGTTTGACTCGTTTTCGTGTTGTGATCACAGATTCAGAGATGAGAGAGAAAAATAGTGTTTGTGTTTTGGACTGAAGTTTAGTTTTTTATTAGTAATAGTAATACCTGTTCGGTATTTGGGGTGCGGTATATACACAGTGTGTTCAAAGTAGTTATAAACCGTTGAATCTTACTTCAGCTGTATGTACAGTAAGACTAGTAATAGTTTACGTAATAAAACTGTTTTTAAAGTATTTTCGTATTTTAATTCGCTATTCACTTGTGCCTAAAAATAATGCAAAAATTTCTCTCAAAGTTTAGGAAATAAGTTTAGTTGTGTTTAAAACAGTGATTTGCATCTCTTTTTCACTCAATAACTACCGGTGCTCTTCTCTCCATGTCTGGGTCTCTCTCTCTCTCTCTCTCTCTCTCTCTCTCTCTCGCATACAAACTGTGAGTAAATGATATTCCGATGACTTAATTATTTTTTCTATGCTTTCGAAAGCAATTATTCAAATAAAGTGTACGAAAAAATGCAAACAACAAAACTTCACGAAAAACAACAGCAAAAAAGTTATTCAAAAGGAAAAAATTAGTGATAATTTTATGCAAAATATTTCGCTCATATATTCTGTGCTCAAAAATTCAATGATTTTATTAAATAATTTGCAAACAAAACACCAAAACATATATTTAAAAGTACTGTAAAATATTTTTCTTAAGACTGAATATACCGGTAATTATGTAATGAATTAATATTTAATGCAAAAGTATTTCAAAACATTTATTATTTTAAAAAATTATTAAAAGAGTTTTGCGATATAATAGAAAGATTATTATGATTTTATATACATTTTGTATTAACAGAGAGTTTACATATTTTTCTTATTATATTAATAACTAATTTATTTTAATAAGAGTTTTTGAGCGTAAAAACAGAGAGTCATCTCTACAACGAAAACAAGTTTTGAAATACAAAAAAAGTTATTTTATTATTTTCTCATTACGGTATATCTAAATATTATTGCTTGCGAGTAGTCGGGAGGGCATGCCTTACAGCGTATACATATTCAACACTTTAGGCAAAAGTGTAATCTTAACGGACTGTCTCTCATAACTTTCAGTATCGATACTAAACCATGAATTAGTGGCCGATTTATCTTCGGCTACAATCTTATCTCCTTCGCCATCATCGCTCTCGACATCTGTAGCACCGACAGCACCACCACTGGTCTTATCAATGGGCAGATCTATATTAATATCCATGGCTTCGATCACCTGAACACCGGATTGGGGATCGCTTTCCGCCAACGGCTCGCCATTGAATAACTTTACGCTAAATATATTAATAAAACAAAATGAAAACATAAATTATAATCAAATCATAAAACCATTGGAAAAGTGCGGAACAAATATTCACACATAAAAGCCATTTAAAAGTATAATTACATTACAAAAGAGATTAATAATAGTCGACAGACAAACAAAAATTGATTTCAAAAACAATATTTCATAAAACCATTGGAAAAGTGCGGAACAAATTTCCACACATAAAAGCCATTTAAAAGTATAATTACATTACAAAAGAGATTAATAATAGTCGACAGACAAACAAAAATTGATTTCAAAAACAATATAATTAATAAAACAAATCCATCGATACGTACCCATCGCTAATGAATTGGCTATACTTTAAGGGCTGGCTATGAATAATTAGATTCAATTTGCAATCCTTAGTGTTTTGTATGAAAAGGTTGTCGGCGTTCACGTCCGTCAGTGTCGACCACTGATTGCACTCGTCGTTAGTAATTGATCTCAAATCCACTTTGGATTCATTGGTGTTGTGATTATCGGACGCCTTTCGTGACATAAATATATGCCACCAGCGGGTCGTATCGCGTGAGCTCAGACCCTCAGCGCCGGCTGTCTGGCGCTCGAAGCGCTGGTAGCACTTCGAGCAACCGGTGCACGGCTTGCTGTACGATATGTTCACCCCTTCCACTCCCGGGAGACTCTATCGCACCGACAGTTAA